ATATAAAATACTTGTTTATTAAGGCCCTCTTAAAATAAATTTGCACAAGTAAAGACAGTGACAAAATTTTTTAGAGAACTGAAATATCAATTGACTGTATATTCAAAACACTAGCATTTTTCTACAATATTACAACTTTGAAATGGCACCGAATAGTAGGAAGGACATGGCAACCTGCTAGTGATCAAAGAAATCAGAACTCAGAACAGCGCTATATATGTCTTTTTAATCAACTTCACACTACCATAAACCTCCAGCAACCAACTGGGAGAGTAATATACACTGTTCCCTATTGTCCTCCAGTTACATGAGCTTAGAGTCTGGTTGGCTTAAATTGATGTCACTTAAACACAACACAGAGATGTTCTGGACATAAAGTTAAAGTGGTTGTTCCTTCACATTCTTTTAATGGCTTGAGTTCATTTTGTAAGGGTTTGGACTCCTTTGAACACAGGAAGCAAAAGAAGTACCTTTTTGTATTGGTGCCCTTTTATAACTATGGGCCCTATTGGCTGATGGAGTTAATGGTTAACTCGTGTTTTTTTTCATTAAAATTTCTTTTAGATTAATCTTTAAAATGACTGTAAATTTATTTATGTATTTATTATTTGTAAAATTATGTTCACACATAAGGTGTGTTCAGATGTGTTACCATACTCAGATGTTTGGGTGACAGCAAATTATTTACCCAGGCGATAATAAATTTGATGTTTTGTTTTGTTTTGAATAATGCTTTTCATTTTTTAATAATGAAAAGCATCAAATTGTCTAATTGAAATATTTTAAACGGCAAATATTTCATCTTTTCATCCTTATGATTTTTTCTAAATGATCAACTAGCTTCACTTGTGTTTTGGATTCAGAAATAATCAAATTGATAGTGATCTCTGTCTTCAAATAAAAATAAAACAGGAAAAAATTCTGCTTAAGCTTTAAACGTTTGTGTCGGTAAGTGACTATTGTACATTGGTGTTCTGAGAGAAGACGGTGCCTCTCTGTTCTCTTAAATTTCTTTTGATATCAGCAGGCTAAATATAGCTCGCAGCACCCCTCCCCCTCCTTGACGAGGTATCAGAGCCAAGAGAGCAGTCAGTGATAGGCTAACATTTTGATGTGCACAGTGACACACACACACACAGATTAAAGTGAGTTGCTCAGAGTGGGACGGCACTGTCTTTGTGCACAGAGTACGGGCTACAGTGATGATAAATTGCTGCTGTTTGCGGCACCAAATGAGATTTGAGTATTCGTCTTTTTCTGTGCGTCTCAGGGCTGCCACTGGAGGATGGTGGGGGTACTCCGATGAACCTCCTCAAGTGCATGAAACCCTCCTTGCCTCCACAAAGGTATCCACACACTCACACAAGTGTGACCATAAGCTCAGTGTCCTCAGGTGAATCATGTGACCCTTCACCTGCTAAGCCAAGCAAGAATGAGTCTTGCATTACTAGGCAAGCCACCACAAGTTATAATGGAATGAAATTTTTCCCATTAGTTGTTCACTTATTTAATATGATTTAAATATACAAATTGGTTTTTTCATTAAAATTTTCAAATTATTTTTATGTATGTTTGAAGTGTTCTTAAAACTACTCTTTCCACATCATATCTTCTAAAATTAAAATATGAATAACTTAAATAACTTTCATTTTCAAGCAAACGTCCCAAGCATTTCAAGGCTCAAATAGACTAAATCAGTTTTCTTTGGATTTTGGAGAGCAATCCTGCAGTAAGCTTTTTAAAGGTCTTACACCAGATTTGTCTATAACTGATTGGTTGTCTGTGATACCTACACTACGCCTGGTACAATAAAAGAAATAGTTATGTTTTTCAGAATTTTGAAAGTATGGTTTATTGTGAAATTCCCAATATAAAATCTTTCTTTTATGGCTTTATGCCTCAAAGGGGCATTGTCATCTCCAGTTTCATCAGTGCCGTCTCACTTGATGGGGAAGATGTTTTTTTTGAGACACAGGTTCAGAGGGAGAGTGAAGTCAGCCCTGCACGACTTGTAGTGTCAAGCGATAGGAGTGTGCACTGCGTGTGTTAGCTATTCTGACCAGTATCAACCCTTCTTCATTCTGTCTCCTCGTGCACTCCATGGTCACATTTTGCTGTTTTTATGCAGACAAATTCATAACACATATGAAATTATGATAATTTTTATTATGAACTATTAATTTAACAAAGTTCCTAAACATTACATGTTAAGCAGTCATTCGTAAGCAGAGTCTGTTTTGTGCTGGCTATAGCTGATGTTCCCCTGCAGGCCTTTCCTCATGCAGTCATGGAAAATCAGAGGAAGAGAAGTCCAATTGCAGAACCATGCTGGCAAATATAAATCAATGCAGATGGATAGAGAATGGATAGAGAATCTTTTGACTATAGACATGCTCAGTAAGTGTATGTGCTGCACCTCCGACCAGGAAGAAAAGTTGGATGCATGGATCTGTAAATAATAAAGGAAAAAAAAGAAGCAGATAACTGAATTCCCTCCAGTTTGATCTATTAAAGGGAATCCAGAGTGTTTTCTGTTCAGTCTTTTTGGATGCATCTGGATTCGCTTAAGCCGAAACAGTCTTAATTGAGTGCAGCCATACAGCCTGATGACTGCTGTTTCACTACAGAAAGAAGTGGAAGAAATGTGTAGGCAGCTCAACAACAAGCAGTAATGGTTAAAAAGGGGGAAAATGGGGAAAAAAGTTACAGAAACATATTGAATCTGATTATTAAGTGAACAAATGCCAGATTAAACTTCTATGTCTTTACCAAAATATGGAAGAGTAATTTAAAAATATTAAAAATAAAACATCCATAATGGTGTTGAAGGTTTCAGTGTCAGTAAGCCTTTAAATATTGTGCTCTGAGACCGGTGCTGTCCTTTCCAGTAAATGGTTTGCAAGGAGGAAGCAGAAACCTTAACTGTGAGATAAATAAACCATGTTATGGTTCATCATTAGCTCGCCAAAGTAAAAGGTGCAATGATTACCTTTTACTCATGTCCTTGTGCTACAGCAGTAAAATGAGCTGTAATAAGGTCTGTTTTCATCATCTATTTTCGTTAGGAAATAATAAAGTTATGTCTGATATTCTGACATTTAATGTTATTGATATCTAGATGAAAGCTCTCTCTGCCTCTGCTGAACCTCCACAACTATCCCAGTAACTCGTATTCATATCCTCCTGCAGCACTGGCGGCTCCTTCATAAATGAGCCAGTCTCCTGGCAACCAGGCACCAATCAGCACGCAGGATCTCTCTCTGTAGTAACCACTGTGTGGGGTGTGACCAATCACACACACAATCAGGTAACACATGACTTGGTATCCTGGGTATCCTGGGACATTGTTCTCCTCCTGTTGGCTGTAACTATACAAAAGACTAATTTCAGAAGTATATACAAAGCCTGGGTTTAATTCAGAGTATAAAATCAAGGGCTGCTATTCTGACTGAGACTCTAGAAGTGAAATATTTCCCTTTACTAAAAGGGCTAGATTTTGTAAGAGGTACTTGTGCATATTCAGTTTGTTAACTAAAATAGATGGCAGTCAGGCAATCCCCTGTTTGGAAGCTTATTGTAGTGGATGGGGTCAGCAGCGAAACGGATGTCAGCCCCTCCAAAAAGAGGAAAAATCTGGTGTAAGTGCACACTGTGTATGAGATTTTCAGCCCTGTTCAACAGGGGACTAAAATAATTGTATTACTCTCCTTAAAGCCACCAGAATCACTTGACGAAAACAGTAATTTTGCCTTGCACGATATGAGAGCTGCTCGAGCACCAGTGTTTCAGTGTGTTGCTCGGTATTTTTCATCATGATTGTTTTTTTGTTTTGTTTTGTTTTTTCATGAATGTCCTGTAATCTACTATTAGAAAAGTAAAGATTAGAAAACAATAAAGTCATCAATGTGCTAGCTGCTTTTCTCTGAAAGACTTTTACTTTCAGGACACTGATATGGCTGAAGTTGAGCTGCTCTCAACGGTTACATCCACATTTCATTGTTAAATGTCCTATTCCTAACCTACAGTGCTGTTATAACTTTCACAAATACTGTTTCGTCCCAAAGACCAAAACATGTTTGAGTCTACTTAGAAGTACATGTGTAAAAAAATTACTTAATTATTTTAAAATAAACTGTCTCTCTTTAACTTTCAGTTTGAGTGTTAAGAGTTAACCTAGGAAGCCCACACTTTGGTCTAATGAATGTCTCCCACCACCTTGTCTGCCTTCATATCTTCACATCACTTTATGGTTTATATGACTGTTTGGGGTGAAATTATTCCTCCTATTCGTATGTAGGTGTTTGGTGCACCCATGGGCCCTGGCGATAGCTCTGGCAGTCACATGATGCCCGGTGGTAGCCCTGGTATGGGTCCTGGGATGGGCTCCCAGTTCATAGGTCAGCAGTCATATGGAGATCCTGTCTCGAAAGGTTATGGCCAGCCAGTCATGTATGGACGTCCCAGCACTGCTTACAACCCAGCCTCCGCCTACAGTGGAAGGTATGCTATCCTATTGTTCTGATTATTGGCCAGTCTAGTTGGTGCTGTGAAACAACATTTTTTTTTATGCTCAGAGAAAAGGCAACGAGAAACTACTAGTTGTAGTAAATTATGATCACCAGTTAATAGGTTAATATGCTTTTTCATGTCAAGTTAAAAGACATTGTAGATCCTTCAACACCAATTATTAAAAAGATGTAAGTGAATGTATGTATGCATACATTTTACCTTGAACGTCATTAAAGATATATGCTGTACAGTCATTCCACCCTGGAAAATGAACATTCAAAGAAATCATGTGTATTTTAGTACTGACTATTTACACAGGCACAACTCCCCTAGCTTGCTGACTACATCCCATAGAGATGGTTTTATACTGTCCGACTACCAATATCACCGTAAGCAACTGAACTCATCTTTATCATTGCCAAAGTAACCTTAGAAACAGTTGAAGAAGTAGGCTGGAAGCCAACATCAGTTAACACTGGAATGATGATAGTTGATCTAACTGTGGTACAGAAGGTCATCATGAGAGATAGGTCCTGCATTTAGTAACCTTTTACATAACCTCAGTAAATATTTCTTGCCCACAGTTGCTAAACAACTGCAAACAGCTATGCAGCCCACCACATTTCTTTCTTTCCATTTCTGTTTTGTTTTGATTCCCTGCTATAGCTTTTTCTGCCTCAGGCTCTTCACATATCCGATGGAAGAGGGTGATCTCCCAAATCAGAACCATATCAAATATAAATATCTTGTTTTGACTCTAGTGGTTAGGACTGAAATGCTTTTTTTAATTACATGCATGTAATGTAATATGGTTGCTCTCACCCACGACTCTGACTCATGCTAGTGACAAAACGTCACATAGTTATGTGTAGTTTACTAATCCCACTCATCTCCCAGTTTTCCTTTCTCTCCCCACAGTTACTCTGGAAACAGTGGAGGTGCCGGTCTAGGCGTTCGTCCACCCTCAGATTTCACTCAGGCTGCTGCTGCTGCTGTTGCTGCCGCCGCTGCCACAGCAACTGCCACTGCTACAGCGACTGTTGCAGCAATACAGGAAAAACAGAACCAGGAGCTGAGCTATGGCCAGGTAAAGGTCTCTGAGAAAAATATGTGCATCTCTTTGTGTTAGGGGAGGCATGCAAGAAGAGAAAAGGGAGAAGCTGCACATAGCTTTCATGGTTCAGGTGCAATCATTTGATGTAATTAGCTGATTTTAATTTTCCATAAATGATAGTGAGTTGAACATCTGAACTCTGCGTTGGATGTTACCAGATGTTTCTGGTAGTTGCAGCTCTAGTTTCAACTTGTTCGTGTTGATCCTGATTGCCAAATTTTTGACTTAGATAATTTTAGCATCCAAGGTTGGACCTGTTACATGTCCCACTCTCTGCCTATAATTTCCTCTGAAGTTGTTAATGAAGGCACAAAGAGAGCAGCAGGCAGTGATCATGTGCATCCTCTTTTAGCTTAGACAGACATACATGTCAATCAAGTATTTGCAATAAATGGCAATAAGTCTTTAACATCACTGTGGAGGAATTTTGGCTCACTCTTCCTTGCAGAATTGTTTTAATTTACCTACTGTGGTGTGTTTTTGAAACATTCAGATGTTGACTTGTGTATTTAAGATACGTCTGGTGCATGACTCAAGTGTGTTTGAGCTTCAGGATTTTCTGGTAGAGAGCAGAATTCATGATCATGAAGTCGTGCAGATCCTGAAGCAGTAAAGCAGTCACAGAGAATCACACTACCACCATCATGTTTGACTGTTGGTATGATGTACTTTTTCTGAAATACTGTTTCATGCTGAATGTAATGGGTTGTAAGTCTTCAGAAAAGTTCTGCTTTTGTCTTGGCAATCCACAGAATATTTTCCCCAAATTTCAGGGAACAACGAAGATAGTTTTTTTTTTTTTTTTTTTGGCAAATGTGAGATGAACCTGACAGTTCTTTTTAGTCAGCAGTGATTTTTACATTGAAACTCTGAGCAAAAATTGCAATCCGTTAATATTTTGTCATTGTTGAATCATCATACCTAACTGAGGCCTGCAGTTTTTTAGATGTTGTTCTGGGTTCTTATGAGACTTGTGTGACTTCTTAATTACACTTGGAGTAATTTTGATAGGCTGAGCAATACTGAGCTTATTTTCCTTAAAAAATACACTTTAAATAAAAAAAATGCTATTTTTATTTACTTGGGTTATCTTTGTCTAATATTAAACACTGTTTGATAATCTGAAAAATGTACTGTATCTGAAAGTGTGACAAATATGGAAAAAACCCCAAAACAAAACATCAGGAAGGGGTCTTTTGATCCACAGCACTATATTGATATTGATTAGACTTAAGTTAAATGGGATTCCCATTTTAAGTTACAGGTTGTATTTATTTCAACTACCAAAACTGCGACTGGGCAAAAGTAACTTTCACAGCTCTGAGTTGCTTAATAAATGCAGACCCTGACTCGCTGTGACTGAACTCTGTGAACCGTCAATGCTGTGGAAAAGATCCAGTTAACTTTATAACATTTTTGTTTTTTTCTCCTTTCCTTTTCAGTTGGGCGGAACATCCTCTTACAGCACCCAATTCCTATCTCATGCGGGCCCCCGTGGCCCTCCAGGGATGAACCCTGGCGGGATGATCTCTTCAAGGTCTGGACTTCCACCTTCCACCGGAGGCTTGTATCCTTCTCACCCTGCGCATATTCAGAGGATTCCACATCAAGGAGGCTATCCAGGCGGACAACAAGGACTCAAACGGCCTTTCCATTCCGAGGTCTGTGATCCCACCAAATGTTTGCTCAAACTCAAACTATATTATAGTATATTGTCCTCCATCCATCTATTTTTTTCTGTATATGTTTATCAGGGACTTGGGGTAGGGTGGGGTAGCTACCATATTCTAGCTACCATAGGGCAAGGGTCAGGGTACACCCTGGATTGATCGCCAATCCATCACAGGGCTAACAAAGAGACAACCATTTGCACTCACATTAACACCTGTGGGCAATTTATAGTCACCAGTTAAAAACATCATTTCACTTCCTATCCCCACTAATTGTCTTTGGACCGTGGGAGGAAGCCAAAGTACCCGGAGAGAACCCACGAAATCATTAGGAGAACATGCAAACTCCACAAAGAAAGGCCCTGGTCAGATGGTGGAGTCAAAATCAGGACCTCCTGTTAGGCAACAGTGCTAACTACCTCTCATCTGCCCTATTTTGGTTTATTCAAAAGGCAGAAAGAATTAGATACTTACTTGATAACTCATGCAATATCATACTTTCCCATTTAAATTATGGATTAAACAGCTCTAATTCCATTTTACCGTCTCTGTCTTTTTCCAGGGTTTTTCTGGACCACAGTATGGCTCTGGTGGGATGTCAGGGTACACTAACCAGCCTCTGCAATACCCCTCTGGTTCGCAGCAGAGATGTGCCACCTCACCCTCTTACCTCTCCAGCCGGATGCCTCACATGGGACACTACTCTGCTGGATCACACAATCCAGCACAGTTTTCCCCTGGAGCTGGACAGCCCAATCCTCCTCAGTATTATAAGGTGACCACAAAACAGAGCCAAGCAGCTTTGGGATGTTTGAGATTAACATAATTTTTAAGGATATTTGACTATCTTATAAATTCCTAAATAAAACTTGTAATGTACAGAATAAAAGCAGATGCTGAAACTATTTCACCTGGCACAACTATATCTAGAATGTTGGTTATTGGCTGGTAGTTAGATGGTGCCAGAACCTTCTAGGGGGGGGGTCCTTGGGAATCAGAACTGTCTGGTTTTCAGTTAGCCTGGGTCTCTCTCATCAACTAGCAGGTGGTTCATTTGTACTGCCAGATGCTCATGGATCGCAGTCAGCTTCTTCAGCCAGTAGGCTGAATCATGTTGGGGCCTGGTGTTGTCCAGTGCTTCATACTGGAGACCCTTTCTTGAATGTCTGCCATTGTAATGGTTACTGAAACCTGCTCGGGGAGGTTGCTGTGGTCTGCTCTTAGATCCACTAGCTAGCTAGCCGGTGATACATACTAGGGCTGCCACGATTAGTCGACTAGTCACGATTACGTCGACTATTAAAATTGCAGACGACTAATTTAATAGTCGAGGCGTCGTTTGAAGCTTTGTAAAATCCCGAAAGACGCAGGAATAAGTACGGTAGTAGTATTTAAGAGTGTAATAACGGACCGAAACAGAAGATGGCAGCACTGCATGTACAGGATGCCAGCTGCCGATTAAACCCCGAAGAAGAAGAAGCAGAAGCAGTAGGGGTGGGTTTTGATGTCAGTTTATCATTAAAATCTATTCTAGCTTGATAACTTGATATCGATTCATAAAATCCTGAATCGATTTTTAAATATAAATTATTTTGCCAAAACGCCAGAATTTCAGGTTAAACCTCACAAATTTCAACAACCACCAAACAGCTAAAACAATAAATGAGAGCAGGTACACGGATTCTGCACAAAGACGTAAACACAAATCGCGGACCCGCTGACGCATCAGAATCAGCGAGATGTCGCCTTTCTCACCCGACGGCACGGACACAGTCGGGATGAAAGCCGACAGCTCACTGATTCTAATGTTTCGGCGGGTCCATGCTTTGTGTTTACGTCCTTTTTGCGCTAGATTCTGAAGCTGCTGAATGTTTTTATAAAATCGTTTTTCTGTGTTTTATCCTCAGCTACTTTGACACAAAGGCATCTGTGATGCTTACACCTTTGATAACGTCTTGCAAGCGTCAGCTTTCTTTTTATATATATATAAAAGTATGGAAATGTACTGATGCATGATCTGAATTATAATATTTCTGACTGTCTGAGGCAAAATTTCCCCGAATCAAATTGAATCGAATCGTGGATTGAATCGATTCGGGACTTTGTCTATCGGAATCGATTCTAGAAATCAGTGACGATACCCAGCCCTAGACGCAGAAGCAGTTATGTTACAGCGATGCGGTGAAGCCTGTCCAAATTCGAAGGCTCCCCAAAACACGGCCAAAAATGCGTCCTTCATTTCCCCAGATTTGAAGGATGGGTCCGGTGTATCCTTCGTGGCCCAACCCATCTCAGAATTCATAGCACAGCCCAGCCAATTCCAGTTTGCAACAATGCTACTTAGTTTTAATATTACTCTTATTACTCTTTCTGGGTCACAAAATAAATGATAGCTAGAGGGTTGAAGGTTCACTAGAGCCGGCGAGAACAGCGAACTCCCGGCACATCATTTTGAAACCCCCCGCCGTTTTACTCTACTCAGGTTGAACATGATGTATAAGTCACTCAGATAATTTAAAAATGTTATTGTTTGGCGTGTTTTATTTGTTCCTGAGTAAATTGGTTTGGCTGAGATTAAAGATATAGTTTTTAAACAGCTGAATAAATGTCAAACAGAAGTGTGAAATGGTAGAGAATTTACTCCAGTGTCCTGTTACTAGTCGACTATCAAAATAATTGTTTGTGACTGCCCTAGTACATACAATGCATGGTATGGTTTCTCTTGCTCCTCTTTCTTGGGTTTCTGCTCACTGAGCACGTGGTCGGTTATAGCCATCTTCCTGATGTACTCGTGGATGTCTGTTGTCTTATCCTGGACTGTGGTACTGACACTCACTATGCCCTGGTCTCCTTCCTTCCGCTTAGTGTACAGTCTCAGGGTGCTGGACTGGGGTGAAACCCTCCATGCATGGTCAGGAGCTTTCTCGTCTTGATGTCAGTGGCTTCTATCTCCTCTTTTGGCCAGCTTATTATCTCAACAGGGTACCTGATCACGGGCAGCAGGTAGATGTTGATAGCCCAGATCTTGTTCATACCGTTCAGCTATCTCCTCAGGATTTCTCTGACCACCTGTGTAGTTGGTGGTTGCAGCTTTCATAGCGGCCTGTATGTGGTGTCCATTTACCTGTGGGATTTCCAGATATTTGTAGCTGTCTTTAGTGTCTGCAATTTAGTGTCTGCAATTTTGCCTGCAGTACGATCCCCTCAGTTCTGACTACCTTCCCTCTCTTTGTTACCATGTGACTACACTTCTCCAGTCCTAATGACATTCCATTGTCCTTCAGTCCAGGTGTGGGGCATCAAGTCATAGGTCTTGTAGTCACAGGTTGGTCAGTCTGGTCTTGCAGTCTAGGGCGAGTGCTTTATCTACTTGAACCAATTTATTTATTTTTTACAAAACAGAAATGAGAGGACAATTGAAACCACTTGGCTGTTTTTGTTAAAATAACTAACTGAAGTTTATTGAGTTATAAAGATGAACTATTTATAGTCTAGTTTTGCCTCTATATAACACCAAAGTGGATTTTAAACAAAATTGAAGGTACAAGCATCCAAGCCTGACACCCTGGCACATGTTCAGGAGGGTCCTGGTCAAGCCGAGCTACAGCTCCTGCGTGCTGTGAGTAAGCAGATTCACGCGATTATGCGTTTTTCCTGTTGCCACTTGTGTTGCCCTTTAATATCATCACAGTCTTTAACTGCACTAACCAAATATCATGTTGAGCAGATGAAATCCCTTGAAGGAGGGACTTGCCTCCATTTGCCTGAGATTGGTAACAAATATACAAAATTTGCAGCCAAAATTTCACTTTAAATTTTAAAATTTAAAACCCACTTCCTGTTGGGTTTGGGCTATAGTTCCAAGAGACTTTTTTCTACAGCTTGAGACATTACATCAGGGTTAATGGTAAATGGACTGGTTCTTATATAGCGCTTTTCTACTCTGTCTGAGCACTCAAAGCGCTTTATACAACTAATTCATTCACCCAATCACACCCATTCACGCAAGCACTTCTAAGCTTAAGTGCTAAGTATCTAACATTCATACACATTCACACTCCGATGGATGCATCGGAGAGCAACATGGGGTTAGTATCTTGCCCAAGGATATTTGGCATGCAGACTGGAGCAGCCTGGGATTAAACCACTAGTGGCTGATCTGCTCTGCCACCTGAGCTACAGCCACCCCAGGGTGTGCCATTAAATAACAGTGTTCACACTGAAGTGTCATCAAGGTCTGATGTTTATTTGGATTTGACGTGAATCTGGTGAACCAGTATTTCAAAGTATATTACATGACTTTTCCTGTTCCCACTAGGTGGCACTCCAACTTTTGCTGAGATTTGACATATCAATGTGTTCATTTCTGGACTCTCATGACCCCCGAGAAGCTTAGGAGAGACAGTGTTATGTTGGACAATGTGTCTTTGAGTTACAGCAGTTTCGTGCTTTATGGCAAAACATTTAAATTTGCCAAGTTGAAATGATAAAAGTGGTGCCAAAATTTGTTATCTTCGATTCAAAATGGTAGACTTCCTGTTGGGTTTAGGGTATCACTCCTAGAGGATTTTTTGTGTGTCTACAGATGCTACATGTCTGCCAAATTTCATATATGTACATGAAATACAGCATGTGGGCTCATTTCTTTGCAATTTTTTAGGGGTCACTACAGAGTCCCAAAACCAGTAAAATACAGACATTTTCACCAGTTTTGATGCATGTGCAAAATTGAATTCGTTTTTGAGTATGTTTAGGCCTTTAAATATTCTATTCGTTTCACAGAGTAGATAGAGTAGGGCCTTCACAATTTTGTGCTTGGACCCTAATAATTAATACAATGTGAGTGAAGTGCAGACTCTCACCTTTCATCCAAAGGGTTTAACAAAAGAATTGCATTAATTGCAGATGTGTTTTCTCCACATCTTTGTGTCGACATACCTGGGTACTCAATGTCATGTTTGGTTTCTGTGGTCTTCAGTCAGAGCCTTTCAATGGTCAGGGCAGCATGGCAACTGGAGGACCAGGAGGATACAATGCCTTCACACAGGCTGCAGTGAACGGGGTAAGTACTCCATGCACTCACCCCATGCTGTCAACACTGAACACCTAAGCTCAGTTTCTCTTAGTTTTGTTATACTAAAATTCTATGGCTTCCTATATTTTATGAAGATTTTAATATCTAAAAATTAGAAGTTTAAGTATTTTTTAATGTTTGAATTTAATTCATGCTGTTTTTGATTCATTCTACTTAGAAGTCGTGATGTTTGGTTGCAGGACTGTGTGAAGATTGTAAAGCAGAAGCTAGTTTTCTACTGCTTACAGTATCTAATGTTCATCATGGGGCATCATATAATTTGATAAGAATTTAGTAATTTTAATTCCATTATCGATATCACTTTTAGATTTGATTCCTTGTCAGTTCGCATTAGGTTCTCACCAACTCTGATTTAAGAACAACATATGAAAGTCATTACAGTCGTGCAATTATTTGCATGCTGTCAAATTTTTGTGCGTGATGGAGATGTTGCCCCTGTTTGTTATGATCGATGTTGGGGTTGTTACTCCAAAGATTTATTACACATATTACAAAGAGAAATTTTTTTAAGTTATGCAGTAGTTAGTTAATTACACACTGAAGAAAGTAATTTGTGTCACTACTCGTTACATTACTTTCATGGTTCTCTGTAAAATTATCTGAAAATCACAGTCTCATAATTACCATTTAACAATATGAATCTATAGTCCCACACACTAACACAAATCCCTATCCTAATGAGGACACACATGATTTTTCTCTCAGTATTTACACAAGCTAACAATATAAAGTAAAGAAGAAAACCAGTACAAAGAGACTTCAAAGCAATCACCGCAGCGATTCTACTGTAGAAACATGAACAGGTAGAAAGGTATTCAGGCTGCAGCCTGACTGCTCATGCTTTTGTCTGGCTGCTGAGGTTAGAATTCAGTCAGCTTTAATATTACTCAGGGTTCTTGACTAGCTTAGCATTAGCATGCTGTCTTTACAGGTACTTACAAAGAGCCGAAGTTCTGTTCTGAAGTGTAATGCAGTTATTTCTGTCCTGGATGCTTTTTGAACTTTTCTAATGCACTTAAGTTAAAGTACTTAAATTAAAGAACAACATGTGCTTAAATTAGATAGGGTTGTGCATGTAGAGAGGATCGATTTAATCCATTTAGTAATAAGGTTGTAACATGACAAAATGTGGAACAAGTCAAGTGCCGAAAATACTTTTTAGTTAGGTTTGATGCTCTAAATATTCCTCATCCTCGTCTCTCAGCCAGTTCGGGGTGGGGTGCTTCCTGGGTATCCCACCTCACCAATGGGAGGGAATCCTACCCCTCCAATGACACCGGGGACCTCCATACCTCCCTACCTTTCTCCAGGCCAGGAAACCAAACCCCCCTACCTTACAACAGAAACCAAAGCCAACATCAACACCCAGCAGCCCGTTACAGGTGAGACTCAGCTGCCACAGAGTAAGTACACTGCTAAAGATGATATACAGATGAAGTTTGACTGGAAATAACAAATTACTTGAATTTAGGCTCTGTAGCATTTCCTTAATCTTGTGATGAATGGCACTGAAAACTTGCCTCTACCTCAGCTCTCACAGTGTTAATAACAGAGTAGAAGAATAATTAACAATTGAGAAAACAAACAAACATCAAAATGTTTAATTAAAAATTGATTGAGTCATAAACATTGTATCCACAAAAGAACAACTGATCACAAAAAAATGTAAATGAGAACGCGTGCAGGTCAGAGGTTTTTAGTATTCATCTAAAAAGGTACAGTTACTTTTGTTTCCTTTCAGACTCCTCTCAGGATAAAATTAGGCATAAACAAAAGTGTCTGTTTTATTTGAAAAAATGGGATCACAACCTCGTGCCTCAGTTGTCTGTCAAGGCACCAGATAGACCTTGAATTCACTGATGCATCAGAAACTGCAACTTTTCATTCAAGGTAACCCCAGTGACGACCTGCGTCTGACTTTCCCTGTACGAGATGGTGTAGTATTGGAGCCTTTCAGACTGGAGCACAACCTGGCTGTCAGCAACCACGCCTTCCATCTGCGAGACTCTGTCTACAAAACACTAATGATGAGGTATAAAGACTGACACTGCAGTCACATGACGAGAGCAGAACAAAGTGAGAAACAGTGTTTGGAACAGTTTGAAGCCTGAGCTTTGGCTTACATAGATTACTTGTGCATACACTGACCACGTTTAATATCATCCACCATTGGACCAGGATATGACAGAAAAGAAAAAAATGTTATAGGTTCTTTTTGAAAATATTTGAGGGACACTGTGCTTGACTGTGGTGTGATATGTAAATAAATTGCTCTCTTCCTGAGCAATTTAAAACGGCAGAAAGAAAACAAATGAAGAATGTCTGACAACCCCACCCAGTCTTTTCCCCTGACAGCTGTTTTGTGTCTCCCTCCACAGGCCAGATTTAGAGCTGCAGTTTAAGTGTTACCACCACGAAGACAGACAAATGAACACTAACTGGCCTGCCTCTGTGCAAGTAAGCATCCATATCTGTTATATATTTGTGGACGTCAATATACACACGTATGTACGTTTGGCTTTTTGTATGGACATTTATTATCAGTGCATTCATATGTCTGTTATTCATAGGTTTAACGATTAGACTAAGCACTAAACTCTGACCCTAAATCGAATTGTTACTTTAAACCTGAAGCCAAGTCTGAACCCTTAAAGAGGCATTTGAATGGATATGAAAGGGGAAACTTTGACTTTGAATTAAAAAATGTCATCACATTGATGGTCTAAAACTCAGTGGTCTATAATAGAGATAGCTGAGATAGCTGGATATGTTTTGTATTTATTGGTTTGGTTTCCTGTGACTAATTATAAACAGTTCTTGAGATAACATTTTGAAGAGGTAACTGTCCCCACATTTCAACTTTAATTACCACCTTTAGAAGGGATGTTCTAAAGGTGGTAATTAATTTGCCAGGATTTTGTTGACGTTTTCTCTTCTTCTCTCTTCTTCATTTTCATCAGGTCAGTGTTAATGCAACTCCTCTGTCCATTGAAAGAGGTGACAACAAAACCTCCCACAAGCCCTTGTATCTAAAGCAAGTGTGTCAGCCAGGGCGCAACACTGTACAGATCACAGTGACAGCATGCTGCTGTGTAAGTTCCTCGATGTGACTGTTTCCTGACTCGGTCACAGAAATGCAGAAAATTTAGTACAGTACGTTACATTGAACTAATGAATTAACCTCATTTTGTACTCCTGTTTGCCCCTCATGTCTCTTTGTCCCCAGTCCCACCTGTTTGTGCTACAGTTGGTGCACCGGCCATCTGTCAGGTCTGTTCTGCAGGGTCTGATGAAGAAGAGACTGCTGCCAGCCGAGCACTGCATTACAAAGAGTGAGTTATCAACCTCATCAGTTATAGCAGGGCCCACTGGTTTCCACTTAACACTTTGCCATGCTATGCATTCATTCAGTGAATTAGAAAGCCCTGTACAACTTGGTATAGTGTGTATGTGTATTTGTATTTTATGCAATACTAGCTGTGAGGTCGCATATTGATTACCAAGGTTCTGTGACTAAGCCTCGAGTTGAACAGTTTTGGTAAATGGACTAGTTTTTATATAGCGCTTTTCTACCCTATCTGAGCACTCAAAGCACTTTATACAAGTAATTCATTCACCCAATCACACAAGCACTTTTTCTAAGCTGTTAGTGCCTATCTAACATTAATACACATTCACACTACGATGGATGCATTAGAGAGCAACATGGGGTTAGTAAGGATAATCGAACCACCAACCTTCCAATCAGTAGATGACCTGCTCTACCGCCTGAGCTGCAGCCACCCCAGTTTTACCATAGCCACCTTGGTTTTTTTAAAAGTATGCAGGATATGTGAGGAAATAGATTTGAAAAGCAGAGAGACAATAAACACTTATAGTCTAGAGATATGATAATGCTAATCATTGGACACGATAGTTTATGAACCGAATTCCTTATTGTATTCAGTATTGGTGAAAAGTAGCAACTGGCAAATGGACTGGTACTTGCATAGCACTACTGAGTACTCAAAGCACTTTGTACAACATGTCTCATTCAACATTCATACAAGCACTTTTTTCTGTCTAAGTGCTTTCTATCTAACATTCATACTCTGGTGGATGCATCAAATAGCAGCTTTGGGATTAGCAGCTTCCCCAAGGATATCCGGCATGCAAACTAGCATAGTCAGGGATCGAACCACAAAGCATTCGATTAGTAAATGACCCATTCTACCTTCTAAGTTACAGAGAATACAGAATGAAGAATGAAGGAGCTAACTTTGTAGACTTCCAGTTGTGAAAAATAAAATTCACCATTGAAAGAAAACTGATTTGGGGATTTATTGAAAGAAACTTTGCAAGGGGATCAGTACAGGACAAACAGTCTTCACACCAGCATTGATACAGAAAAATCTTTGTCTATTTCGGCTGTAGAGTTTTCTCCTCAAAGGAGTACTAGGAGCACTCGGGTAGTCATCTTTTTCTTTTTTATGGTCATTTTGTTTCAGTAAAAAGAAACTTCAGCAGTGGCACCATTCCTGGAACCCCTGGTCTGAATGGGGAGGATGGAGTGGAGCAGACGGCTATTAAAGTTTCTCTCAAATGCCCCATCACATTCAAACGAATCCAGCTGCCAGCCAGAGGCCATGACTGCAGGCACATACAGGTAAGGTCATGTGTGCACTTATTACTTACACCTCCAGATAAATTCGGTGGAGTTCTTTCAACGTGGAAATCTTTGATCTTTTTTTATAGTGTTTCGATCTGGAGTCCTATTTGCAGCTAAACTGTGAAAGAGGGACCTGGCGATGCCCTGTTTGCAAGTAAGTGCATTAACAATGACTTGTTGCCCTTTTTTCATAATCAGTAATCAGCATAAAGTTTTCACCAGCTGTTTGCTCCTCTTGTTCACAGTAAAACAGCTTTGCTAGAAGGACTGGAGGTTGACCAATATATGCTTGGGATTCTTGTCTATATCCAAAAGTAAGTGTTGTTACTGTAAATAGTTACTTAACCAGTGGTATTTCCATACCACTGGGTCATGATACTCACCCCCCAAGCAGTCATGGCAGATGCTTGCTACTCCCCCAGCCTGGTTCTGCCAGAGCTTTCTTCCTGTTAAAAGGGAGTTTTTCCTTCCCACTGTCACCAAGTGCTTGCTCCAAGGTGGTAGTTTGATTGTTGGTGCTTTCTCTTTATGTCTCTACAGTCTTTACAATATAAAGTACCTGAGACGACTACCGTTGATATATACAAGTAAAATGACATTGAATTTAATTGATATACTCACTTCTGTACTGCTGTCATTTTTAACAAAAAATAAAGTAATTCTTTATTTGCCATAATCCTGAAAAATGATAAACTGCTATCTAAAGAGCTTGCCAATTTTCAGTTCACTACATTTTTGTGGTTAAAAAGAACAAGGTTCACAATAATGCTATATACACACACACACACACACACACACACACACACACACACACACACACACACACACACACACACACACACACACACACACCAAAAATGTTGAGTCACCTTTTATTTCTTTATATTTTGCTTCCAATTATTCTTTTAAAATCTTTTAAAGTTTTGCTTTTTCACATACTTTTTGCCCATTCTTTACTTGACCATTTTCAGAGGACTATTTTTTGTTTGGTGAACAACTTAGCTCTGACCTTTTGAATCATTCAAGCGTAAAAAAGGCACCCAACTCATGAAATGAACTAGTCTTGTTGCTACACATAACAGAAAACTAAGCCAAGAACCAGTTTTAAATAGTATTTTTAGGTACTTTAATAGCAGACCATTGCAAACACACTTAATTAGTTCACATTTTAGTTGAATTCATGAGAAATGACAAAGATAACATAGTTTGAAAGACATAAAATAGTTTTTTTCCCACCGACAATAGGATTCCAAAAGCACTATTAGCAGAAATAGCTATTATTGGTATTTCTTAACATGCTGTGTGGTGTGTCCTTAAAAAAACATGAGGAAACAGAACAAGTGGAGGACAACAAGTGATGGATCTATACAGGAGCATTAGTTTTCATTCATCACTCCAGTGTTGTTAATTGGGAATCATCAGATAGTTTGGGTTCTCTCTTTAATATTGGAAGCTCGTCATAATATAAAATGCCTTAAAATGACTGTTGCTGGGAACTGGTGCTATATAAGTAAAACTGCATTTAATGAATTATGGACACATGATATTAGAAATGGGCAGAATTTGATAAAAGCTCCACATTTTATTTATTTATTTTTATTATTTAATGTCCTCAATTTTCATGTCTCACCCTTCCCTCCCTTCCTCAGTTCAGACTATGAGGAGATCACTATAGACCCAGTATGTGGTTGGAGGCCGGTGCCTGTTAAACCTGACCTTCACATAAAAGAGGAGCCTGATGGACCAGTCCTCAAACGCTGTCGCACAGTCAGTCCAAGTCACATGGTCTTACCAAATGTGATGGAAATGATTGCTGCTCTGGGCCCAGCATCATCCCCCTACCAAAGTCTGAATGCAGGAGGCAGGAACACCCCAGAGTACAGTCGGCCAGGTATGAAAGAGGACTTTTTTTTGTTGTTGTTATAATTTGAAGAGAGGCGGTTATAATTAACATACATAAAATATAATGAGATTTTTTTGCTACAGTTTAAGTCTGATTCCATTTTATTCACATTCCCTAACCCACCTAACCTCCAAGATCAAAATGTAAAAAATAATTAATCTACATGAATATACAAATAAACATTTTTAATATAAAAAATGTCTTACAACTAGGTTTTAATAAAATTTTGAGATAAAAATAAGGTTGGAGATTGGTCTATAAGATGGATAGATGTAATTTTGGTTTAGTTACCTTTCCTATGTTTTTTGTATCCTGTGGTCATATTTGTATGTTAGAATCTGTCATCTTTTTCTGTATTTCTTGTTTTACTTTGTTCCATAGTTTGTGGAATTATTTTTCTCTCAAAAGTTGCATGTGACGAAAAACATAATCTGCAAAGCAAGTGTGCACTGGGATCTAGCAATTATAACTTTGACCACAATAGAGATGTATAAACCTGCCATCAAAAAGTTGCTCACTCTGCAGGAAACGCATGTAACTGCATACATGACTAGATTGGAGTGCTTCAAAATGTCCCTTAGAATTATGGTTTTTAAGATTTCTTCAGCATTAACGTAAACCAGTGACAGTTGTCGATTGTCGAGTTGTCCGATTACTTTTTTCAACTAACAAGTAAAGTAAGGGATTACTGTTACTGCATTACTAGAACGTGATTTTGTTTGTGAGAGTGTCTCATGACAATGACGTATGAACGTGCGGCGTCCGTGGCAGCAACAGACGTGTATTGATCAATAATGGATAATATGGACTGCGGAAGAGAGTACGACCATGCAGCGTTTAAAGCTTAGAAGTACTGACACTACTTTGAGTTTTATTCTGTAAAAAGTGACAAAAACATTAGCGTCCATTGTACACTAATAAAGTAACTAATTACTTTTTAAAAAGTAATCAGTAAAGTAATGGGATTACTTTCTTGGAGAAGTAATCCGTAATTAGTATCTAATTACGATTTTCAAGTAGCTTGACCAACACTGGTTGTCAGTATTTCCACTGCTGCACAGCAAACAGCAACTGTTGTTAAGAGCAAACTTTATTTTCGAAATTATAAACAGATACATTTTAAAACAACACTTATGTTGCTGCCATGGTGTAACTCTGTTTAATGCAATAACCTCCATTAAAGTGACCAGTCACTTTAGGACCCCTCTTCCTTTGGGCTCCGCATCCAGACAGTGAAAAGTCTGATTTGAGCGAGCAGCTTTTAGCGCAAAAGCTACCCACAAGAGTGTGTAAGCTGCTAAGCTCTATTCACGCAGGATGTTGAATTTGCACACATTACTAGGAGGCTGAGTAGCACTGGCGGCTGCCTGCATGTTTGATTTTAGTGTCACGGTTTCCTCATTAGATTTGTGTTATGCTTTTTTACATTTTTCCAGCCTTAATAAATGGCTCGTTTTCTACCTA